TGGTAGCATAGTGCCTAAGGCACTTGACTGCTAACCAGAAGGCTGGTGGTTCAAACCCACCAGCCACTCCTCAGAAGGAAGGTTGGGCAATCCTACGTCCATAGTGATACTGCCTCAGAAACCCAAGGAGGGGTCGCTATGAGTCAGGGCTGACTCGACGGCAAATAACAACAACAACAACAACATAGGATCACCATGAGTCAGAATTGACTCGATGGCCATGGGTTTGATTTCTGGGTTTTTTAATGAGTTGGAATTGATTCAGTGTCACGCAACAACAACAACATGGCCACAGGAACCTGGACACAGCAAGGCCTGAGAGGTAATACTTACAGTCCTAACTGTCAGTCTTTGGAACATTATTATTGGATGGTCCTATCTTACAGTTTTGAAATGAGACAAGAAGGGAATGATACTGTATGTCATCTAATCAGTTTTTTTTTTTTTTTTTAATTTCAAATAAGGTAAAGCATTTGGCAATTAATCAAAAGGTTGGCAGTTCACATCTACCAGCCTCGGGAGAAAGATGAGGAAGTCTGCTTCCATAAAGAGTTACATCTCTCTTAGACTATGGCCCTGAGTCACCCTTCAGGCCTAGAATTAATCTCACTTCCAAGGCTTAACTCCCAGGCAAACAATAGACAGGCCTAGGAGCTGAACACCTGCACCAGGGACATGCACTTCCTAGAACAATTGAACAATCAACCATGGGAGATGAGAAGGGCAGCATTTACACCAGGTGAAAGGTAGGGAGGCAGGAATGCATAGGCAAGTAGGACACAAGGAAAGGGTAATCACAGGGAGGAAATTGGAGGTGAGATGTTACACTGCATGGAATGTAAGCAGTGTCACACACAAAAAAATGTGTATATGTACTGTTGAATGGAAAACGAATCTCCTTTTAAAATTTCACCCAAATCACAATAAAAAGTTAGGGAAAAAAAAAACACAAAGATTTGCATCTTTATCCTAAATGGTCTCTATGAGTTGGAATTGAAATAGATTTTTTGGTATCTGTATTTTGCCAATCTATGGCAACCTGTGAAATAGCTAATGATTCGATAGATGCACACAGTAAAATATGCTATACAACATAGTACCAACTGACCTGGCCAAGACGATTACCACCTTCCTACCTCCAATTTCACGCACTTCCCTGTCATGCCTTATGGCTGACTGACTCCGTGGCTTAGATTCAACTAGTGGTTCTCAACCTTGGCTACACATTAGAATCACCTCCAGAACCAAACTCACTGCCATTGAGTCGATTCTGACTCATAGTGACCCGCATAGGGTTTCTAAGGCTATAAATCTTTGCAGAAGCAGACTGCCTCATCTATCTTCTGCAGAGTGGCTGGTGGGTTTGAAACATCAACCTTTTGGTTAGCAGCCAAAATGCCTTAACTGCTATGCCACCAGAGCTCCTTCTCAGACTACACAGGGGCTGAAACAAACCTCTCAAATCTTTAGAGACATCTGCATTTTGTGAAAAAACTGGTTCAATTCAATACCACTAAACAAACAAACAAAAAAACCTGACTACCATCAAGTTGATTCCAACTCATAGTGACCCTGTAGGACAGAATAGAACTGCCTCATAGGGTTTCCATGGCTGCCAATCTTTATGGAAGCCGACTGCATCATCATTATCCTGTGGAGTGGCTGGGAGTTTGAACTGCCAACCTTTTGGTTTGCAGCCAAATGCTTTAACCACTAAGACACCAGAGCTAGGCCATTATAAACGAGTTACTGTCGAGTTGATTCTAACTCACGGGAACCCCATGTGCTTCAGAGTAGAACTATGCTCCAGAGGGTTCTCAATGACTATGGCCTTTCAGAAGCAGATGGCCAGGTTTTCTTCCAAGTCACTTCTGGGTGAGTTCAAGCCTCCAAATTTTCAGTTAATGGCCAAGTATTTAACTATTTGTACCACCCAGGGACTCAAGGCCTATGAACTCGTCTAATGAGTTCTTTTTAATAGTTACATTGGGAATATGGAAGGTGACAAAAGTACTGCTTTGCTGTGAACTGGAAAGTGACTGGGACTTTCTTCCTGCATAGCCAGCCACAGGAACATTTTAGTGAGTGATCACAGTGCTTTGCCTATCTACCTCCCGTGTGGGGTAAATGAAGGAGAGTTACACACTGGAGTTACATTAGTCATAAACATGGAATTTTCCTATAACAACCTAATATCTGTATCTAATGGAAGGGCCCCAAGAGAATCATGATGCTGATTTGGGGTGCAAGAGGCATAGATTGCCTGAGCTTGAAATTGCAAGTTTCACAACACTCTGCTAGGATTATCTGCTTGGGGTGGGGGTAGATCTAAGTTGTTACCTGCTTTGGTAGACTTTGGTAGCTTTGGCAGTGCCGTCTTCTCCTGTCTGTAGACATTGGAAGCACAAATCTTTTCTTCATTTTCTTTTGAAGAGTTAGCTCCCTTGAATAAAACAAAGAAAACAGAAAACTTGTGAGTCCTGACATGAAAACAGCAAGTTCCTTATTCAGAAGACCACAGGGTGCACGCTGTGTCCACAAAGTTGAGGATTATCACTGAGTTCAATAATGGTCAAAAGTAAAGTGAGAAATAATAAAGAGATAGAAGGACAGAAGGATAGATGGATAGATGGACAGAGGACAGAGCAAAGAAATCGCATTGAGAGCCCCTTGGTTTGGAATTTAGGTTCACAAGACCTAAACTGGCTTAATTTACCACCTTACCGACCTGAAAATAAAGGTTTTCTAATCATATATACAAACAGGATAACATGAGAATTATTTAACTTGAGAACTACCTTATTTCTCATTTTCTAAGAACCCACCTCTAGAGTTTTTAGGATAGGATTTGCTTTACAAAATCTCCCCATGTTCATTACTCATCATAAACTCTTTAAGAGCATAAAGCAGGGCATATCTAAGTACAAAACATGACTCTTCCCTCTTTTTTTTTTTTTTTTTAATTTATTGTGATTTGGGTGACTCTTCCCTCTTAAGCTTACTCCTGCCTTGATGAATGGGCACAGATGGAGAGCTGCGGGACTGACAGGGTTCCCAGTGGAAGCGTACTCAGTGACTCCAGAAAGGTCTGGGAGTGTTTTTAGGGCTGCCCCAGGTCATACCCTGCATTGAGGCTCCTTAGGCTTAGCCTTGTCCTCAGCTTCCTTCTTAGTGTTCACGTCTCTCACAGAAAATTGGGCCGGGAAAGTTCTCCTCCTTCTCTGCTTTACCATGGTTATCCAAGCTGGTTCTGAGACAGCATGATCTGACTGTCGACCAGAAGCCTTTTCTGAGGAAGGAATGAAAAAAGTTAAAACTGCCGCAGGGCAAGTAGGGTTCAAAGCCTGGCTGGGGCCTACTCACAATCACATCCCAAACTAGATCCTTGTTAACTGCTCCAGGAGAAAGATATCAAGTAGAGACGGGCCTCTTTCTCTGGTGCTCCCCCTCCCCCCAATCTGGTGAAGCAGGAGTTCCTTTAGTAGACAGGAAGTGCTATTTCTTAACTACCCAGGCATATTGTCCCCTTACTGATCCTTTTCCCTCCCTTGCCCATCCTTTTCTCATTCCTAAATCATGGTAGTCAAGGAACTCTGGTAGTGTAGTGGTTAAGAGCTTAGCTACTAACTGAAAGGCGGGCAGTTAGAACCCACCAGCCGTTCTATGGGAGAAAGATGGGGCAGTTGGTTTCCATAAGGATCACAGCCTTGGAAAACCTGTGGGGGAAGTTCTATCTTGTCCTATAGGGTCGCTAGGAGTTGGAATCGACTGGATGGCAATGGAAAAATAAAGTTAGGACAGTGGTTGCCAGATGGGCTGGGAAAATTCTTAGAAGGCCAGAGGCTCAGGCCATTGATGTCATTCCTCCAGTCTCAAGGAAAAAAACATAGTATTTTATGCAAGTGTGTGTATACATGAGTGTGCTTACAGACATATGTACAAGACTATGTGACAGTGGGGGTGAAGAAATGAAGGTTTTGGAAGAGACTAGTGCTTAAAAGGTCACTGTGATCTAGATTCTCAGATATTTTGGGTGAGTGAAAAGGCTATAAAAGTAGAAACATTTATATTAAATTAAGATTTCAGGCTGGGAGTCTAGGCATATTTCTCTATTAATGAGATAGCTTTGAAAATCCACATGGTATTGGGGAGGCATAATACATGTAAAAGTAGTTTGAGAAAAGCCTAAAGTTCCATCCAAATGTAAGGTATACAGAAGAGGAGGAAAGGGGGGAACAGGGAGATGATCATGTGTCCATTTCAGAATGTGGATGGGTATCCAGAGGCTTCCTTTGGGAAAAGGAAAGAGTCAAAATTAATCACCTCCAAATCCATTAATCTAGAATTGGGTACTACTCTGCCTCCAAATCCACAAGCCCGCCCTATTAAATTAACAACTCACTGGACACAGCTAGAACAGACTTCCTCCTATCCAAGACTTTGATTTCCAGTTCCTCCCTCCACTTGGAACCTACTTGCCTTCTGGGAAGTGGAAGTCTCACCTGGGATCTTGAAAACAGGTGGTTTCTTGTTTTCATCTTCAGATTTGGGCTCCACCTGTTGGTTCTTTGCCAATTCAGATACTTTGGTGAGGTTCTGTGAGGCGTTCAGGCACCCCTGGGAAGCGTTTCTTCTGACTCGGTGTTCTTTCCATATGGATGTTGAAGGTAGGTCCAAAGAGGTTGTCGGAAGGTTGGTAAAACCATCTTGTTTCTTTCTCTTATACTTCTGCAAGGAAGGGATTCTTCTCAGTCTCACTCCAAAAACCTTTTCAACATTAGCCCTACTGGTAGGTGACCTTGGATCCCTGTCATGATTTTTATCATCTCTCTTGAGAACTTCTTTCTTAGAGCAAAGGCCTCCAGAAATGGCTGCTTGCTGGGCAGGATCAGTGGTGAATGTCAGAGGTTTGTTAGCAAGGGATGGGGCATACTTAGTGAGGTCTTCGGAGCCTTGGCTCTGTCTCTCGATTTTGTCTGGAGAAACTGGGGCTCTTGGTAAGGACTGGCTGCCAGGATCACTCTTCAAAATGGTTCCTTCAGCTGTATCACTCACAGAACTTGAACGAATCTGTTGCTTTTCTTCAGGATCTCCAAAAGTCTGGACAGGGCGCCTGGGAGGCAGTTGCATATCAGGATTACCCCACTCTATAGCTACACTTTCTGACCCTGTTGAGGAAATCTGTGGCTGGAAATCTGTGGCTTGGAAAGGGAATGTGGAAGGCAGCTGCTCCTTAGAGCTCCTCCCCTCTTTGGGAAAGCTCTCAGAAACTGGGATTTCTTGCTGGTGCTCAGGCTTTCCCGAGGCCTGGGAAAGGTGTCTGAAAGGCATTTGCTCTTTAGAGCTGCTCCACTTCTCTGGTGCATTCTGTGAACCTGAGGAAACTTCGGGTTGATCTTCAAGCCTCGCCAAGGACAATAAAGGGCACTCTGTAGGCATCGGCTTCATGGAAATGCCTTCCTCAATGTCAGCACTCTGAGGACCTGAGAAAACTTGCTGCTCGATTTTAGGCCTCCACAAAGATTTGGAAGAATGATCTGGAGGCAGAGGATCCACATAAATGCTCCTCTCAACAGCAGGGTTCTCTGAACCCGAAAAGATTTGCTGTACCATGAACTTCACAAATGACTGGGAAGGACGCCCAGGAAGCAGCGATTTCTTAGAAATGCCTCCTTTAACAGCAGTGTTCTCTAGACGAGAGGACATTTCCTGGACTTTAGACCTCATTAAGAACTGGGTAGGATATCTGGGAGGCAGTGGCCTCTTAGAAATTCCCCTCGCAACAGCAGCCCTCTCAAAACTTGAGGAAATTTGCTGGACTCTGTGCCTTACAATGGACTGGGAAGGATGTCTGGGAGGCAGCGATGCCATAGACATGTCTCCCTCAGAAGCAGCACTCTCGGGACCTGCAGAGACTTGTTGTTCAGATTTAGGGCTCACCAATGGCTGGAAAGGACATCTGGTTGGCACTGGCTCCACAGTATCGCTCCTTTCTGCAGAAGCACTCACTGAACGTGAGGAAACTTCTTGCTTGATGATTGGTCTCATTGGGGTCTGAGCATGATGTCTGGGAAGCAGTGATACCATAGGCATGTCTCCTTCAAAAGCAGCACTCTCTGGACCCGCAGAGACTTGTAGCTCTAATTTAGGTCGCACCCAGGACTGGAAAGGACGCCTGGGAAGGAGCGACCCCACAGAACCACTCCATTCTGCAGAAGTGCTCATTGCATCTAGGGTAATGATCTGTGGCTGGAATTTAGGCCTCATCAAGGGCTGGAAAGAGCATCCAGGAGGCAGCAGCTCCACCAAAATGCCCTCCTCAACGGCAGTGCTCTCTAACATTTGCTTGACTTTGGGATTTGTTATGGACTGGGAAGAATATTTGGGGAGCAGAGGCTCCACAGAAATGATCCTCTCAGCAGCTACATCTTCTGAACCTGAGAACACTTTTTGCTCAACTTTAAGGTTCATCAATGACTGGGGGAAAAGTTTAGGAGGCAGTTGCTCCATAGAAATGCTCCCTTCAACAACTGTTTTTTCTGGAAATGAAGAGACTTGTTGCTCGACTTTAGGGCTCACCCATGGTTGAAGAGAACTTCTGGGAGGCAATGGTTTCATAGAAATTCTCTCCCCAACCGTAGCACTTTCTGCACTCGAGGAGACTTGTTGCTCAACTACCGGTTTCACCAAGGGCTGGGAAGGAGATCTAGTAGACAGTGTCTGCATAGACATGCCCTCCTTAGCAGCAGTCATTTCTGGACCTACAGAGACTTCTTGCTCAACTACTGGTCTAATTGGGGGCTGAGAACGATGACTGAGAGGCATGGGTCCCATAAAAATAGTCCCTTCAACAGTCGCACTCTCTGGACCTGAGGAGACTTGGTGCCTAACTTTAGACATCATCAGACGCTTAGAAGAGACTCTGGGAGGCAGTGGCTTCATAGGAATGTCCCACTCAACAGGAATGCTCTCTTGATGTGCAGAGACTTGTTGCTTGAATTTAGATCTCACCCGTGGCTTCACAGAACTACCCCATTCCGTAGAAGCACTCACGGAACCTGAGGAGACTTGTCGCTGAACAGTAGGTCTACTAAAGGGTCGAGAAAGGTATTTGGTTGGTGGCTGCTCCACAGAAATACTCCCCTCAGAAACTGAGGAGACTTCTTGTTGGTCTTCAGCCTTTCCCAAGGCTTGGGAAGTATATCTGGGAGACAGGTTTTCCTCAGAACTGCTCCAATCTTCAGCATTATTGTCCTTTTTAACATAACTACTTGATCCTGTGCAGACATCTTCATTTTCAGGCTTTCTCAGAGCCTGGGAAAGGCATCTGGGAACAAGTTGTTCCTCAGAAGTGCTTGTTTCCACAACAAAAGTTTTTGATTCTGAGATGACCTCTTGTCCATTTTTAGGCTTCCTCACGGACTGGAAAGAGTGTTCAGTGGCCTGCTGCTCCTCAGAACCACTCCCCTCCTCTGGAGTACTCTCTAACTCTGAGGAGGCTTCTTGTTCATCTTCAGACTTCCCCAAGTCCTGGAAAGAGCGTCCAGGATCCAGGTACTCCTCAGAATCACTCTCTTTCTCTGAAGTACTCTCTGAATCTGAGATTTGTTGACGGTCCTTAGGCCTCTCCAAAGCCTGGGAAGGTCTTCTAGGAGGCAGCTTTTCTGCAGAAATGCCTCTTCTTGCCCTAGCAGCCCTTGCTGTACCTGGAGCACTTTTTATAAAGGCCTGGAACACATTTCCAGGAGAATTTTCTTTGCAGATAGTTGGGGTGCATTGGTCTGACTCCATCTTAAATTTGGCATTTTGTGGATCAAAGCTGGAAGCTGCTTTCCCTTCTGACTGAACATGAGAAGGATCCATAAATGCCTGAGCCCCCACGCTCACTGAGGGAACGACATCTGCCGGGGTTGTAGAAGGACTTGCCATTACTGGTAAAAGAGAAGCTCTGTCTTCTGTCTTCTCAGCTCCAGAAGCCCTATCTTCATTATATGGTGGTGGCCCACTAACCATGGATTCTTTCACATGTTTAGGTAGGGGTTGCAGTGCTGATGCTTTTTTGCCTCCATCATCTGTGCTGCCATTTTTCCTTCCTGTATCACTTTTCTCTGAAAGCAACTCTTGAGGGGTAGCTGTTTCCACTTGTGGAGTTGTGGGTTGCTCCATAACTTGCTTCTTCAAAGGCAGGTGCCAGAGAGGGCAATCCTTAGCCAGAATCATGGCAGACAGGGGCCTAGCTTGATCTCCTTGGCCATGACCTTGACTGGATTTTTTGATGCTTCTTCCTTTGGGTCCACACTCACTCATTCCTGAAGAAACGAATTCTTTCCTTCCACGTTTTCTTCTATGTGCTGCTGACAGTGGGTAGCCCTGACTCCCAGTAGCGTCAGTGTTTGAAGCCTGATCTGTTGTCTTCTTATCATGAATCTCAGTTTTGTTGCTCTGTTTCTGGCTCGAGGGACCTGTACCAATATAAATAAGGAAAAATATGTGTGCTTTTGACTTCCTAAATAAGAATGCTCTGCCCTGTCCCAGTTGTCCCCATTTGCTATTGAATTTCTTAAGAGGAAGAAAGAGCTACACAGAAGATAGAGAGAAATTTGGTCACTATTAGCCTTCTTCCCCTGAAAAATTTTAAATCAAAGGGTAATACCAGTTTTCTGAACTGATTCTAGGGTTGACTCCTCACCATTTTATCAACACTTCCATTTACCATTAGGTGTGCAACGCACATCAAAAGGCTATTTTTGAACTTGTAACAATGGTTACCTTTGAAGAAACTGACTGGGGCAGAGAGGAGAGAAATTTTTATTTGTAATGAATGTTTGTATTTTCTGCTTAATATTTTATGCAAATGGCTCGAATTTTCATCTCATGTGCATGTTGCTCAATTTTTTTTAGAAAGGCATCAATGAGAGTTATTTGGGAGGAAGGATTATGGCCTCTTTTTCTTCTCTTCTGTATTAAAATAATCCTATGTGCTATTATACATAGAAAGCAGTTCTTGAAAAGCTATAACAATAACATCAGTCACAGGCTTCAGTTTCAGCACACGGCAACAACACATACCGCTCCTCTCCCTCTCTAGTCTGATTGCCAAGTGGGAGGGCCCCCGGCTGCCTTTCCTCCCTCATCATCCGCTGCATCTCTAGCTCCATCTAGTGGTTTCATATCCAGCCTACAGTGCTGAGCGTAGCTGGTTACACTCTAAACCACTCCCATTATTTACGCTGACTTGATTCTATCCTATGGGTGAAAAGGGATAACTATTAAAAATAAATATGAAAACGATAAAAAGAAAGTAAAAAAAGATTACTCATTTAATTTCTTTTTATCATATGTGTGTGTGTGTGTATGTGTATGATTGTTTGTTTCTCACGGGAAAATGTGTTTAAGAATATCCTGTGTTTGAGCTCAAAGGAGCTCTGGTGGTGCAGTGGGTAAGGCATTTGACTGCTAATCAGAAGGTTGGCGGTTCAAACCCACCAGCTGCTCCATGGAAGGAAGACTGGGCAATCTACTTCCGTAAAGATTTACTGCCTCGGAAACCCAATGGGTGTTGCTATGAGTCGAAATTGACTTGATGGCAGTGGGTTTAGTTTGGTTCGGTTTGTCTTGGAGCCTGTGGTGGTTATGTTTGTGTGTCAACTTGGCTGGGCCTGGTTGAGTGGCTAGGCAGCTGGATGTAGTATTCCCCATGATGAGATTGGTAATTAACTCCATGGTGGAACCTACTGTGAGTAGCTGCCTTTGGGTATGTGGTCTGCTTTCTGTATATAAGGAGAAGCTTTGAGAGTGGTCTCTAACCATTGGCACGCTTGGACCCTGCGTGTAGCCATGTCATTGCTCAGCAGCCTGCTATGCTCTGCCGACCTTGGGACTTACGTTAATGGCCTGCCGTGTGGATTGGTAACATCGGGACTATGCCTTTTTATTTGTCAACCTTGGGGCTTCTCAGCCTCAGCAGCCAACAGCTAGCTGTCTGAGTGAAGAAATGCCTTTGGCTCCAGTGGGCTGGGAACAGGAGGCAGAGCTGGACCCCACGGTTGAGGGGCTTTCACCCAGCCCCTAGAGCCTGGCACTTTGAACTTGGACTTAAAGCCTCCAAATTGTAAGAATAAACTCCTGTTTGTTAAGGCCATCCCATTTGTGGTGTAATCTTGTCAGAGAAGCATTAGGTAACCAGAACAGAGCCCATGTGTGAAATCCTGTGTGGCAAAAACATAAAATAACTCTTCAACTTAATTTGTGGAACTGGAGTTTTGTTTTACCAAATACTGCTTGAAATGAGCTTTCTATCAGCTAAAGCCATTATCCACATCTGTGTGCATGTGCATACACACACGTGCATGCACACACACACAATTTTTACTCTGGTGGTATTTGTTGTTTGAGGATTTGATATGTGTTGGCTGCCAAGAACATCTGTCTGCAGCTGCCCATGGACATACGAACTGGTTTCACTGTTAATACAAGACCTTTTCTCTCTACTAGAAGAGAAAGGCGACTTTGAAATGGGAGTTTGGGGCTAGCTCTGTTATTCTTGTCTGGTTCTGTTGTTGAGGGGGCTCTCTGAAGGAGGAAGTCACTCACTGCCCTAGATAACTGGGCTCACTGAGGAATCCAACATATATAGCAGACTCAGAGAGGATAAAACACAATTACGAACAAACAAACACCTCCATGTTTGGAAATTCATTTAGATAAAATAGAATCAGGTATCACCTTTACCTAAACCCTACACAATAATCAATACAAGTGGCAATTGTATTTATTAAGCAGTTTAAATAGAAAAAGCTGGACCACCTTAGTATGCATCTTAAATGGAAAGTTCTCTGAGAACCAAGAGGAGCAGGTTCTTCATTATATAGCTCTTGTCATGTGCAATTAAGCTCACAATACATGTTTCTGGATGAGGGTGAAGATGTGCCAACCTGCACTGTCTTTTTTGGGCTTCTTCTGGCCAGTTTCTTTGGCTTGGGTTGTACTCTTCTCTTCATCAGAGGCCAGTGGAAGGCTTGGCTCCTCCTGGCTTGCTTCCACCTAAAACAAGAAGAGATGAGTCTGAATCAGACTGAAGTGTTCTCCACCTGCCCTTTCAGGACTGCCAAAGAAACAGACATTGGAAGAACATTCTTGATACCCAAATGACTCTGCTGAGAGCTTAACAATATCATTAAAGATGGAAGTTCTTTCCAAAGGCATCTAATCAGAGGTCCCTGGTGATCATTTTACTCATTCTAAGTGTTTCAAACAAACTTCCAAAAGCTTTAGAGTTTCTGGTCTCTAGAGGAGTCTCTAGGTAGTGTAAATAGTTAACCTGCTCAGCTGCAAACCAAAAGATTGGAGGTTGGAGTCCACCCAGAGGTGCCTCGGATGAAAGAGCTGGTGATCTGCTTCTGAAAAGTCAGCCATTGAAGCCCCATGGAGCATAGTTCTACTCTGACACACATGGGTCACCATGATTCAGAATTGATTTGACTGGCAACTGGTTTGATTGGATCACTGAATGCCATGCTAAAACATCCTGGAAACCAATGAACCACAAGTGGAAGGCCATACATCTGAACATGGGGTTGCTGGGTCTGACAACAATCATGCCCCTGGCAACACTGGAATTCTCAAATTTGGTTCATCAGATTTGGGAGCCCAATTCAAATCTTGTTTGGCTTTGTTACAGGGAATTTAGTGAAACCATGAATTCTTTCTTTCTAGCTCCAAAGAAAAGAGAATATTGGGGTTTTGTTGGGAAGGAAGAGAGCAAAAGATGAAGGGTTCACACTTTACACCAAATGGACTGAAATTGGGAGCATAAACAAGGTTTGCAGGTAGTTGCAGTGCAGCTCTAGAAATGTCAGGGTAGCACTACACTGAACATGCACCCCAAACTCACAGCCGTCGAGTCAGATCCAACTCATAGAGACTCCTCGTTCATTTTCCGTGGTGGTATCTCTACGGAAGTAGATTGCCCAACTTTCCTTCCGAGGAGCGGCTGGTGGGTTTGAACCGCCAGCCTTCTGGTTAGCAGTCAAATGCCTTAGGCACTATGCTACCAGAGCTCCCACCATTAAAGACAGATCTACAAAATTATATGCTCCCATTTGAAGTGCCTGAACAAATAGACTCAGCTTAAAAATCATTTTTGAGTAAATGAGGTCTGATAGGCCTGAGTTCAAATCACCTACTAGCTGTGTGACCTTGGGAAGGTTATGCTCTGATTCTCAGTTTCCATAGTGGTGTAGTGCCTAAGGCATTTAACTGCTAACCAGAAGGCTGGCAGTTCAAACCTACCAGCCACTCCTTGGAAGGAAGATCGGGTAATCTACTTCCGTAGTGATACTGCCTCGGAAACCCAAGGAGGGGTTGCTATGAGTCGGATCTGACTCGATGTCAGTGAGTAAATTAAGGAGAAGGAGAAACTTCCTGTGGGACTTGTAGAGCTAAGCCATTCAGAGCAGGGAGGAAGTGATAGCAACCCATGGGTCATAAATGATCCTAGACTCTTTTATATAGACTCATCTCCCTATGGGAGATGGAGATGTCCAGGACTCTTCTAAATGAAGTTATCAGAAGGGAGAAAGAAGGATCTGTGATAGTTATGTTTGTGTGTCAACTTGGCTAGGCCTGGTTGAGTGGCTGGGCAGCTAGATGTAGTATTCCCTATGATGAGACTGGTAATCATCTCCATGGTGGAATCTACTATGAGCAGCTGAGTAGCTGCCTTTGGGTATGTGGTCTGCTTCCTGTATATAATGAGAAGCTTTGAGAATGGTCTCTAGCCAATGGTATGCTTGGACCCTGAAAGTAGCCGTGTCGTTGCTCAGCAGCCTGCTATGCTCTTCCGGACTTGGGACTTACAATGGACTTAAGTTAATGGCCTGCCATGTGGATTGGTAACATTGGGACTGTGCCTTTTTTACTTGTCAACCTTGGGGCTTCTCAGCCTCAGCAGCTAGCGGCTATCCGAGTGAAGGGATAGCTCCAGTGGGCCAAGAACAGGAGGCAGAGCTGGACCCCAAGGTTGCGGGGCTTTCACCCAGCCCCTAGAGCCTGGCACTTGAACTTGGATTTAAAGCCTCCAAAATGTAAGAATAAACTCCTGTTTGTTAAGGGCACCCCATTTGTGGTATATTTCTTGTCAGAGCGGCACTAGGTAACCAGAGCAGGGTCACAACAAAGTTTCCCTCAGCCAACATTCTCCATCTCCCTGGTTTGTGCTGAGGTGTCCAGGAATAATGTGTGTTTAGAACTTGGTACATAGTCAACTGGGTAACTGGTCACCCCTTGCTTGACACCAAACCAAGGAGATCCTCTTAGGACCAACAGAGGACTCCTTTCAATTGCACACCCTGCCCTTGCCAACTCTTCTTTCCATGTGTACTTTGTCGAAGCTAGAGGCAGCAGGGTGGGTGAAAAGACTACTGGGCTGGAAGTCAGAGGACTGCGTTCTCAGCCTAGCTCTAATATTGCCTCAGTGTTTGACTTTGGGCAAGCACCCAAATGATTCATGCTTTAATGTTCTTCCCTGTAAAATGCTTGCTCTACACCATCTTTCAGTATTTTCCAGCTCTGACTTACAGCCCTTTACTTATAGCCCAGAATCCCTGGGGACTGGATCTTCCACCAGAGTGAATTCTCCAACTCACTGACCCATCCTTCTTTAACACCTGTTGTTGTTGTTGTGTGCTACTGAGTCAATGTCCAACTCATAGTAATTCCATGTGACAGTAGAAACGCCCCATAGGGTTTTCTTGCCTGTAATCTTTACAAATATGCTCTTGTAAAGATTTCAATTCAGGAAAGGATATCAAGAAAGATGGCACAACTTGAAGAACATAACCAAGGTCATTGAATTGTATATGTAGAAATTGTTGAACCGATGTCTGTTTTTGTGTGTGTATCTTCATCAAAAATTGAAAAAAGATCTCTCAGAGTAAAAAAGATGTCACAAAGCCTGTCACATGACCTGAATTGTTTCACCACCATCCACACAAACTCACTGACCCCTAAGCTTCTCACCTATCCTTTCCAGTTTCGGTGGTCAATTTGATCTCACACAGATAATCCTTTAAAAGCAATGATCTTTTGAAGGATTAATAGCTGAGTTGTGAATGTTGGGAGTTGCTGGAAGCCTCACCTACAAATGAGTGGAAGTGCTATCATTTGTAACTCATGAGTGTCATCTAATTAATAACTAAAACAATCCTGATCTGGGCTAGGGTTGCAGATTCCCTACGGAGGGCTGAGGGAATTCCCAGATGCTAAGCCAATAAGCAGCTTCTGGGGGTTAGTCACTGTTGCTGCTTTCTGTAGTCACTTTTATACAAGTTCCAAATGGATAGGCTACCCCCACTCTATTAGATGCATGCTTTTTCACCCTTCTGGGGGTGTCAAGCCCATAACAGTGCCCTCAACCACAGCATCCTTACCCAGAGTATAGGCGCTCTGGTGTTGCAGCGGTTGAACACTTGGCTGCTAAATGAAAGGTTGCCAGTTTGAACCCACCCAGTGACTCTGCAGGAGAAAGACCTGGCCATCTGCTCTCATAAAGATTACAGCCTAGACACCCTATGGGGGAGTTCTCTGTAACACATGGGTTGCTATGAATTTAAATCAATACCATAGTACGTAACACCATCATCACCTAGGGTATGTCCCCTGAACCATACCACTTCCCTAGAGCAAACTGCAAATGTTGGAACTAATTTTTCATTGGGAGCTCTGGTAGCATAGTGGCTAAGGCACTTGACTGCTAACCAGAAGGGTGGCGGTTCAAACCCACCAGCCACTCCTCGGAAGGAAGGTTGGGCAATCCTACTTCCATAGTGATACTGCCTCGGAAACCCAAGGAGGGGTCGCTATGAGTCAGGGCTGACTCGACGGCACATAACAACAACAACAACAATTTTTCATTGTACAAAGCATTTATACAAGAATTTATTCCTGGGATTTCTGAAGGACTTACAGTCACTTGAAGGTTCCTCTTGATCTTTTGTTTCCGAGGGTTTAGAGCCATCTTGTGTCGAGCAGCTGAAGAATCCAAACAGCCCTGGGTGGTGGCTGGGGTGCTGAAACCAATGGACAGCTGGGTGCTGCTGGAAGAGGCAAGTGTGGCCAATGACAGTGAGCGAATGAGTCCAGATGGTGTCTCAGAGGAGCTCTGGAGAGAGCGGGAGAAAAGAAACGAGTCAACCCTACATGCTATCACCAGTCGCAAAAGCTGGACCGTCTGCTGGCTGGAGAGTTCCTTAAAGAAGAAAACTTCATGAATTACTGACCCCTTTTCCTACAGCTCTACTGACACTTCCAGCTTCATTATGTCCTCATTATGGCTGGCCCCCATCTCTCCAAACTAACTGGCTCTGGAACACCTCCTCATATTCCTCTGTAGGAGCTTTTTCATAGAGCAAAATTCCAACTATTCCTAAGATGTTCCAGATAGCTGTATTAGCAGAAACCCCTCTGAAGACCAGGAGATAAGCCATCTATCTCCTGGACACCAGCAGATAATGATGTAATTTAGCAGGTAGGCCAAAATCCAATTTGTATTTACCCCACTAGTTCCTTCCAAACTGGCTTTGCACAGTGTCAGGGACCCCTTTGGTATTTGCAGCTTTGACATCTCTTTGTATTTTCCCACTACCATTGTCTATTCAGCCAGTGATAACATTAGCTACTATCTTGGTTGCAAATATGGTTCTTTTATGACCTGTGTGGTTCCAATGCCTGGAGACTTAACATAGGCCCATCACACTCACCATCCTGTTTTCTATTCTGGTAAAGGTGGGAGAAATGCTACAGTTGTCTTTTGCAGGGTAAATCACACAAAATTAAGAGTGATTCCAAGGCTTCCTTAACTTCTTTATGCAACTGTCATCCATTAGTTTATGTAACACCTCTTCCTGATACGGGAGCTCTGGTGGCGTAGTGCCTAAGGCATTTGACTGCTAACTAGGAGGCAGGAGGGTCAAACCCACCAGCCACTTCTCAGAAGGAAGACTGGGCAATCTACTTCCATAGAGATTTCGTCTTGGTAACCCAAGGAGGGGTCGCTATGAGTCAAATGGACTAGATGGCAGTGAATTTGTGTTTTTTTTTTTTTTTTTGTTCTTGCTGATATGGTAGATTTGGCTTGTGTATTCCTTAGAACAGAGTAATAACTCTGGTTTTACTGTGCTGAACTTCTTTCATGCTTCAGGGTGGTCTTAGAGTTCTGGTGTTTTGAGACTGGATGGCAGAGTCATGCTCCCATTAGCCACACATGACCTGTCTGTCTCCCTATTGCCTCTCTGACTACATCTTCTACCACTTTCTGTTCTAGCCACACTGTTGTGGGTTTGCTATTTTTCAAACATTCCAGGCATGCTCTCACCTCAGGGCCTTTGCACTTGCTGTTCTGTGTGTAACTAGCTCCCTCATGTCCTTCAGGTCTTGATTCAAAATCATCTTCTCTGTGAGATCTTCCTTAGCTAAACTATTTAAAAACTTTGTCCTCTACCATAATATTTCATAATCCCTGCATTAATTTTTTCCTTGGCACTTTAACCACTGTCTAATATGTATGTTTTGTGTATTTACCTTTTTTGTTGTCCATACACCCATTAGAATATAAACTCCATGAAGTAGGGCTTTCATGCGTTTTATTTACTACTGTAGCCCCAGAACCTAGAACTGCCCTTGGTATATAGTAGTTGCTCAATAAATGTTTGTTGAACTAGTGAATTAATTATGTTAAAGGCTTCCACTGAACCTTGCTCCACGGCTAACTCCTCTCTTTCCTACATGATTTTAGTGATTCTCCCTGAGGCCTACACAGCTTCAGCCAAAGGTCAATAGAGAAAGATAAGGAGGTCTGTGGATCTGGGAAACCCT